CACAAGTAGGTTCATAATTTTATACATAATAAATCATACAAGGGTGCCACAGCAATGCTCTGGCAGGCAGTGTTTCAACACTGCGTGCCACAAGTAAGTTCGCTGATTAGGTAATCGGGGAGTTCTTTGGTAGTTTTGGTATAGGGGTATTCGTTTGAGGTGACGAGGTGGTAAATAGATGATTTGTGGTAAAGCGTCTGGACTTAAAGACAAGTCAAGAATATATTATGAGATTATGAGTTTTCGCAACTGTCGGTATTGTCATAAAGAATATCCTATGGAGATGCTTGTTATTGTAAAGCGTGGATGCCCACAATGTCCCGAATGCACACCAGAGGTAAGAATTGCAAGAACAAAGGAAAAGGATAGAATTAGACGAGAAAACAACCGAGAACGAGAACGTGAAAGATGGAGAACATATTATGCTGAACATCGTGAAGAAATCCGCGCAAGGAAAAACGAATACAACAAAACATATAATCAAATTGAACTTACCTGTGATGTATGCGAATGCCAAGTTAGAAAATGTAATTGGTCAAGGCATATTAAAACGCAAAAGCATAATGATAATCTGGAATGTAAGAGGAAAGAAGAAGAGAAGATGAGCAAAATGAATGAAGAGGAATTGGATGAGCATGTCAAGATTAAGAAATTGAAGAAGATATGGAAGACAGTTAGATTATAAATGATTTAGGTTATTCATTTTATAGATTGACAACCTAATTCATTTTTTGTTCATTGTAGAATGTATTTTGTGGTAAAATGTGTGGTAAAGTGGGGTTTGTATCAGGTGGCAAAGTGGTAAATGAAAATGTGCGAAAATGGCCAAATCGGAGCAACGAACCTACTTATGGCTGTTGCTGGCTCTAAACCCTAAACCCTAAACCCTAAACCCAAACCCTGAGTTGGAGTGTAGGGGTGAGGGATGGCAAAGGCAAGCTCTTTGGAGAGCTTTTTTGAGTTCCCACTTCTTCCTCTTGCCTTTTTTGGTGGGAGGTTCAGAGCCCTAAACCCTAAGCCCTAAACCCTGAACCTGAACCCTAAACCGGAGGACTCTACATTCAGGAAAGAAACCGGGGCCGTGGCCTCCTTGAGGGCGAAGCTGCGCCACAAGCACCAAGGTCCCAACCCCAACCCCTGCATACCCCAAACCTCTACGCACTAAGCTTGGAAGCGAAACGCAGCGAAGACGACTTAAAGTTCTCCCCATCCCGTAAGCAGGCTCGTTGGACATGTGTTTGCTTCCCCTCGATTTTTGAAAATTTTCACGTATACCCGAACACCAACCTTGAAAGCCAGGAGACTAGAATTTATGGGCTACCGTTTCCTATGTAGGGGGTAAGTAGCCTCTGATTTTAGGTAACGGACCATGTGGCCAGGTGCGCGCGCACTTTGCCGGGGCGTCCGGCTTTGACGGTGGCTTGCAGGCACACCCAGCAGTATATACACATATATATATATATATATATGCTACCCCCCCCCTCCAAAACCTACCGTTTTCTAATTTTCTACACTTGCGTGACATCAAAACGCTTTAAAGATGAGACCGACTCCCTAAATCCTTTGACCTTATTCACACAATTTTCTGTTGCATAAACCCTCTTCCCAAAATCCTGCTCGCTAAATCCGAAAGCACGGGATTCCTACATCGTATTCCCTAAATCATATTCCCCCAGTCCCTAAATCTGGGGCGGGCGGGGGGGGGGTGGGTCACTAAATGGCTCACTAAATCTTCTCGCTAAATCCTAAAGGGTGGGATCCCTAAATCATATTCCCATGATTTTACTCCCTAAGTCTTTTCCCAAAGCCCTAAAGAGGGAAGTCTTGAAATTCTGAAGAGGAGAGCCTCTGAATTCTAAAAGAGAATTACTACCTCCAGTACGGGGGTTTCCGTATGGGGAAATACCGCCACAGTGAATGAATATTTTCCGGGGGTGTTCAAAAGTCTGTCTGCAGGCTTCGTTTTTGATTGCTGAGCTGCAGTCTGGATCGGCGAAACTACAATACATTCCTATTGTGCTTAATAGAGAATGCATACATTGCCATGGTCTCATTATTGCAGTGCCCTGCCTTTCTTATTGCGGTGGGGGGTCCCACCAATTAAACAGATGCTCGGATAAAATCTTATCGGGATCCCTAGATCTGGTTCCCTGAAATTAACTCCCTAAGGCCTAAAGGTGGGGGGCGGGGGAGGGGGGCTAAACCCTAAAGAGGAGATCCCCTAAATCCTAAAAAGCATTCCTTAGTTTTACTTTCTAAATCCTATTGCTTAAGCCCTAAAGAGGGGTGTCCTAAAGAGGGGGATCCTTACTATAAATCTTAAAGATGAGCCTCTCCGTCTACATCATAAAACAAAGAACCTTACTCAGTAGATCTTATCGCTAAAGTCAACAAAGAAGGATCCCTCAATCTTATCCCTTAATTTCACTCCCTAAATCATATTGGGGAAGAGGGGTGGGAGTGAGTCACCAGATCCTAAAGAGGGAATCTTAAGTAGCCTTAAATCCCCAAAAATGAGACCCCCCCTAACTCATACAAAAGCCAACCTTACTCAATAAATCTTCTCGCTAACGCTAAAGCTTTAGCGATAAGATTTGCGCCCCCTTAGAAAATAGGATTTGGGGACTAAGCTTTGGGATGCTCCCCACTTCAACGCCTATTCTCTAAATCCTTCTCGCTAAGTCCTAAAGAGCGGGCTCCCCTATAATGATGAAATATGTCCGATTCAAATTTGAATCGGCCGATTCAGTTTTGAATCGACCCTCAAATTAAAGATTGAAGTCGTCGTAGTGTTGCAGTACTCACATGCATATTCATACTGTGTATTGGCTTTATATGTATGTATGAGTTGGTACGTAATCTGTGTACTCACTCAATCTCCAACGCAACAAATTTGCTTATAAGGACTTAATTTGCTTCTAAATAGAAGGGGAGAGGGCGCCAGGGTCGGTCTTCCAAAACAAGTAGGACCAAAAAACACTCCCCACCACACCCCCCCACTCCCCTCCACTTCACTCCACTGCGTGTTCTGGGTTTGTTTAAGGGTATTGTCAGGGCTTATTCTCCAAAACCCTATCGATCCAGGGTTTAGGATTCTAACGAGAAGCCCCAAAACCCCAAGCCTATAGGGTTAAGCAATTTAACCTCAACCCTTAATCTTTAAACACCCTATAGGGTTACGGTTTAAAGGTTTAGGATTTGAATTTCAGACATGTAAACCATGACCTACAATTCAACGGAAACACGAAACCTTTAACCCTTGCAGGGTTAAGGTTTAAAGGTATAGGGTTTAAGACATAGGCACTCTAAACCCCTATCGATCCAGGATTTAGAGTTTTAAAGAAAAGCCCCGAAACCCTATAGGATTAAACAAATAAGCCCAATTCTTTAACCTTTAAACCCTGTAGGATTAAGATTTAAAGGTTTAGGGCTTAAGATATAGGCATTTAAATCTTGACCTGCAAATACACCGAAACCCTTAAACTTTAAGCGTTAGTTCAAGGTCTAGAATTTAAGATATATGTATTTAAACCTTGACGTGTAATTAAACGAAACCTGCAACCTGGAAACTTTATAGGGTTAAGGTTTAAAGGTTTAGGGTTTAAGATATATGATTTTGAACCTAAGCCTGCAATTAAGTTGAAACACATAACCTTTAAACCCTATAGGGTTAAGCTTTATAGGTCCCGGGCTTAGCGTTTTATAGAGAAGCCCCAAAACCCATATAGGATTACAATTAACCTAAACGCGCACGCAACCTTCATGTTGACGGCCGACATGAGGAGTATGCTATGGCTGGAAACTGCGCGTTTATAGCCCAAGCTGCGCGTTGAAATTGTGCACATATAATGGAACCACTTTCAGTGCTTCAATATATAATACCATGGCCTAGAGTTTTGTAAGATATTTCTTAACCATAAGAAAAATCTTCAGGACCGGGCGTTTTAAAACTCCTTGCTTAGCCACAAGAGGAGTTTTAAAACTCCTGCCACCGAAGATTGAAGATTGAAGATGTCTCAGGACTCTTTGTGGGAATCTTCAATCTCAAGTAGTCGGGGCCGGGAGTTTTAAAACTCCTTGCTTAGCCACAAGAGGAGTTTTAAAACTCATGCCACCGAAGATTGAAGATTGAAGATTCCTGGAAAGAGTTCTGGAGAATCTTCAATCTTCAATCTTCGGGACCACGAGTTTTAAAACTCCTTGCTTAGCCACAAGAGGAGTTTTAAAACTCCCTGCCCCTAAGATTGAAGATTGAAGATTCCTGGAAAGAGTTCTGGGGAATCTTCAATCTTCAATCTTCGGGGCCACGAGTTTTAAAACTCCTTGCTTAGCCACAAGAAGAGTTTTAAAACTCCTGGCCCTGGAGATTTTTTATTGGAGTCGCTAAGTATTTAATATTTCGTATCGGATGTATATATATATATACATCCGGCTTCGAATATCATAAACATGACGTCTCGACATAGAAAAGGGTATGAAAAGGTAGGTTTTGAGGGGGGGGGGGGTACCATATATATATATATACCCGTACTATGTGTATGCCCTTAGGGTTAAGGGCTCCGGGTTTAGGTGACCTTAAGCGAGTCACGGATTAGGGGTTTGCCTTGGATTGAGTGTTGGCCCGCTGTTTAGGCTATAGGCTTGCCTTGTCCAAGCCTCCTAGTGTTTGCGCTAGTCTCGACGCTCTGAGACTCCCATGCAGCCCATTGTGATTCCTAAAGGTCTGCCTGGCGTTGCCTGTACTCGTTTACCACCTTCAATGTATGCCGGTGAAGGTGGTTTTCCGAACGCGACGAGTGTTTTCTATGGTGGGTTTTCTATGGTGGGCGGGTCTTTCTGAGCCGGCACGTGGCCTGATCGCGAACTATTCGTGCTGCAGGGGCAAGCCTATGAAACGGACTTGCAAACGACCCTGTAATGTGTTGCTGCTTGAATGTCGCTTAGTGTGCAGGATGGCCTTTGATTGAAGCTTTTTGTGTATATGCCTTTGCCCCGCAGGCATGTGTAGATCCCCAGCTCCTGAGTCCGAGTCCAAGAAGGCTGCTATTGCGGCGCAAGAAGCAAGTGTCGAGAAGTACATGCCAGGCCCTTTCGCGAGTATACTAGTGGCAGCACGACATCACAGCCGGGGCAGCGTCCAGATAGTCACACTGCTTTCTCGGTTACCACATCGAGGCTGATTGCTGGCTGTGGGGATAGGCATATGCCTCAGATGTCCGTGCTGAAAACGCCCAAAGGGACTCATGGTTTCATTTGGCCCGGCCCTTTTCAGTCGCCACAGAGTCCAATCTGAAAGGCGTATGTCATGGCAAGCACATGCTATCATCTTCCCTGACGACATGAAGGCATCTGATCAGTAATCATCCAGCAAGGCCGTCTCGCAAGTGCTGACAGGAAGCAGCACGGCGTTGGGGCTCTTTTTGTATCGCTGGAGGAGCTTGCTATGTTGCGTGCACTATCTGGCGCGGCAGCCTCTCACGGCGGACTGCGTCGCCGCGCTTCCCAATCCGGGTTGGGCAGTGTTAGCAGGCTTCTCAATCCGAGTTGCGCGCGCTATCGTGCGTGTTGCCAGCTTCTATTACACGGTGTCATCGCGGCATTCGCAGCACAGTAGCAGGTGCTTCTCGTACGCTTTGCAACCATCCTGAAGAGTTTGGCTAACTGCATCAGTCCAGGGGAGGACGTGCTGAGAACCAAAAGGTCAGCGATCTGTTCAATGCCGAGCTGCTGTAGGATATAGTAAGAGCACCCATGACAGCACACTTTGAGACAGGAACCCAACCACTAGAACACCCATGAATCATCTGTCAAGGACCTTTAGGACAGCACCAACCATCTAGTCTCAAGGATTACTCACTCCGCTCCTCACAGAATTAGTATTATAGGTAAGGGACGCACGCTATAATACTAATGCTGTGCGGGATAGCGGGCGAGTGAATTTAATGAACGAAGTGAATTAATGAACGACGGAGTGAACGAAGTGAACCAAAAGCCCCCTTAAAAGTACTATAATTGGGGCTTTTGATCACTGAGTTCACACACTACATTCATATTTTCATACACTTTTCTCTCTCTTTATTTCATCACGCAATAATACTATTATAAGTTCACGCATGAATAGTATTATATTGCGTGACGAAAAGAAGAGAGAAAAGGGCCCACAATAATAATATTACTTTGTGGCGTGCACAAGTTTACCCACAAAGTACTATTATTATTGGGGCATGAGTGACATCATGAACCTGTTAACCGCACGAATGAGGGAGATGAAAAGGGCCCCTTTAAAGGACTTATTATTTGGCCCTTTTCACCCTCATTCTCCCATCCTGGCTGTTACCTTCACGACTCAACAGATTAACTCCTAGAGACAGAGGTTAGGGTGTCAAGAGCCTGTGGATGGGCGAGCTAGACTGGACGGGCCTCAGAAAGCGGTTAATCCTTGAGACTAGATGGTTGGTGCTGTCCTAAAGGTCCTTGACAGATGATTCATGGTGATAGAGGTTAAGGGCCCCTTATTAAAATAGTACTATTATAAGGTAAAGAATGCACGCTTAATTTTAGTATATTTTATGGGGCCTTTTCACCCTTATTGTGCTTCATATTTAATATAATTCGCGCACAAGTTTGCAATTATATTAAAATGAAGAACAAAAAGGCCCGTGAATGCACTCCCTGAAATCCTCAACCCTAAACCCTAAACCCTAAACCCGACCCCCGAAACCCACAGCCTCAGACCCTGAGACCTGAGCCTCAAACCCTACCCCAAGCAAGCCGCCTAAACCCCATGCACTACAAACCCTAAACCCTAAAGCCTAAACCCTAAACCCTAAGCCTAAACCCTAAACCCTAAACCCAATGTCCTTGACTCCTCTCTACCCTTCTTGGGAGGCTGCTGCCAAACGCGACAACTTGCGGCGGGGGAGTCAGTCGCACCAGGCACCCCGGGCTCCAGGGCGTTTCGGGTGCATGTAGGGTTTAGGGTTTAGGGTTTAGGGTTTAGGGTGTAGGGTGTAGGGTTTGGGGTTTTGGGTTTAGGGTTTAGGGTTTAGGGCACTTGGGGTTAAATGGGTTAGGTGAAAAGTTTCGGGCTTCGGGTTGTTGGATGTAGCCGGGCCCGAAACCCTTGCGATTTGTCCTCTAAACCTCTTCGTCCTCGAACGCTGGAGCCGGCCCCAACACTACCACCACATACAAACCGTAAACCCTAAACTTTCATATTCTTGGTTCAGGGCAAGCTGCGAGAGCCTTTTTTTACATCGGCTTTCTTGGTCTCCAGGATTTCGAAACCCTAAACCCTAAACCCTAAACCCTAAACCCTAAACCCTAAACCCTAAACCCTAAACCCTAAACCCTAAACCCTAAACCCTAAACCCTAAGCCGCGCTTCGGGCTGTAGGGTGGTTTGGGGCTTTGAGCTGTTCTGGGCGGCTGCCTGGGCTCTTGGGCACCGAGGCTTCCCGTAGCCTAAAACCCCAATACTAGGCGACCCTAAACCCTAAACCCTAAACAGCTGCCCTGGGACACTAAACCCCAAACCCTGAACCCTAAACCCTAAACCCTCAAGCCAAGAATACATAGAAGGTGTATAGGAGTAAATTAACTTCGAAGTTGTTGGGCTTTGCCAAACCCTTCCAACAGCAACAGGAGAGAAAGGTAGGTCGTGGAATAAATCCCATGCCTGCCGCCAAAACCCCATCGCTCCAAGTCCCTTCACCGATCCGCCCAAGTCTCCAAGCCTTTTCCCAGGCTCAGAGTCCCCTTCTCAAGCTTTTTCAAGCAGCTCAGACAAAAAAAAAACTTTCGGTCAAAACTTTCTGTGCAACCCCCGGACACAAACCCTATACACCTTCTGTAAACCCTAAACCCCAGCCCCTAATTAATCTCCCCAACACATCCCTGAAGCCCGGGGGCTTATTTCCCCCCCACACACTGCTGGCAGCCAGAGGCCTTCCGGCGCGAGGTGGACATGCACGACCAGCTGGCCGAGAACAACGAAGCGCAGAGGGCGCGCCGGGCAAGTCCATTTAGGGTTTAGGGTTTAGGGTTTAGGGTTTAGGGTTTAGGGTTTAGGGTTTAGGGTTTAGGGTTTAGGGTTTCAGGATGCCGAACTATTCATGGTTCCTAGGCCTGGCAAGTCTGTTGGGTTTTTGGGGTAGGGTTTAGGGTTTAGGGTTTAGGGTTTAGGGTTTAGGGTTTAGGGTTTAGGGTTGGGGTTTAGGGTTTAGGGTTTAGGGTTTAGGGTTTAGGGTTTAGGGTTTAGGGTTTAGGGTTTAGGGTTTAGGGTTTAGGGTTTAGGGTTTAGGGTAGCTTGATTCCCTTTTGTAAGCCTTTATGCCATTGGGGTGTTGTATGCCCCCTTACAAAGAGTCTAAGGGGTCACCTTCTCTCCCCTTATTGTCAGGGGGGGATTAATATGGGGGTTCCTTATTTTCCTTTACTCTTGTTTGAGCCCTAAACCCTAAACCCTAAACCCTAAACCCTAAACCCTAAACCCTAAACCCTAAACCCTAAACCCCCATTTGAGGATGTGGGGAGTTCGCTGCCTTGGCAATGTCTGCCTCAGGCCAGCGAAAGACTGGCCAGTGAGCTGCAGTGGCTCACAAAGCAGGTGGAGAGAGAAGGTCTGCTTTCTGCAGCGTCAAACCCTAAACCCGAGACCCGAAACCCCAAACCCTAAACCCTACACCCCTGCACCCTAAACCCCAAAACCCAAAACCCAAAACCGCGCCACCCCCTGCGTCAGGACACCACCGCCTACAAGAGCCGCCCGGACTACGTCCTGATTATAGGTTTAGGGGTTTAGGGTTCGGGATTTCGGGTTTGGGATTTAGGGTTTTTAGGATTTAGGGTTTAGGCGCTTATTGTCTCGTAGGTTTTTGGGTTTATACGGCTTAGGGCTTGCAGTTTGGGGGTCGGTGCGCTTTCTCTTTGCCTAAACTCATCTGAATCTGCGACCTGTATTCTTGAACCACGTCGACACGTGTGTCCTTCAGGGAGAACCTAAAGAATCGCAGCTCAGGAAGACCAGCGAGATGCTCAAGACGCTGGAAGCCGAAATAGCGCCCTCGCTGCAAAAGCAGGCCCGCTGTCTCAGAGTGAATTCAGGGTTCAGGGCTCAAAGTCTTTTCGGGCTTCCTGCTAAAGCACTTCCGTAGTCAGGGAGGCCACTTCTACTCCAAACTTAAACCATGACTCCGTGAACCTAAGCCGAGAGCTAATATGCACCCCTTGGGCCAAGACTCCGAGCCCAAACTCCCAGACCTCTCAAATGCCCGTAGCGGATGATTTGGTATGTGAGCCCAGGACTAAATTACCTCCCGGGTACTGATACACTATAACATGCTTCGAAGTTCGTTTTTGGTCTGTGTCCGAATACAGGCCGAATGCTAATTATCAGGATCCCGCATTGGCTCACAGGTATACCCTGAGCTGGGATGTACGTCAAGATGCCCCAGGTATCAGTACTATATGATACACCATATAGGGCTTCACCCTCACGCAGGGCTGGGCAGTGTTAAGCTCAACATACGGGTGAAGGTGCCCAATGGATGAAGCGCTGTGAGGCCACGGCTTGCGGTGTCGTGCGTTGCGGCTGGTGCGCTCTTCCTGACATGCTTCACGTCTCGAGGATTTCAGGGGAGCAGCTAGCTGCCATCAGCATCGAGGAGGTCACCGACGCGAGACACCTCAAAGAGACCTTGCGCAGCATGTTCGGGTTCCCCATGTGCCTTCAACGGCTCTTGCAGGACGGCCAGGGCTTGGGTGATGCCAGCAAGTTGGAGGAACCCGTCGAAGTCCAGCTTGTCCTCTTGTCCGCTGCGCACAGGGAGGAGCTCGACGCGGAACTCTTCGAGGCCTGCCGTCAGGGCAGCGTGGAAGGTGTGCGGTCGCTGTTGGAAGCAGGTGCCCATCATGACCTGGGCTCTCATTTGTGCAGCTCGATATGGCCGCCTTGAAGTTGCACGGTTGCTGCTGGAAGCTGGTGCCGACAAGGACCTGCAAGGTGATGACTGCGGCTGCACAGCTCTTAGCGGTGCAGCTGGAGCTGGGCACGCGGAGATTGTGAAGCTCCTTCTGGAAGCTGGTGCTGGCAAGGACATGCGGGATGGATCGCGCACCCGTGCTCTCGCGGACGCAGTGGAGCAAGGTCACCGGGAGGTCGCATTGTTGCTCGTGGAAGAGGGCACCGATGAGGCGCTGCATAAGGAACTTCTCGGCCAGGCCTTCCTTGGCGCGGCGGCCAGCGGGCACGAAGATCTCGTCCAGCTCTTCTCAGAAGCTGGTGCTGACAAGGATCTCCAGGACGCCTCTGGGAAAACTGCCCTGATGCATGCAGCGGAGGACGGCCACGTGGAGGTTGCGCGTTGGCTGCTGGAAGCTGGTGCGGACAAGGACCTTCAAGGGGGACAGGGCTTGACGGCGTTAATGTGTGCAGCTGGAAGTGGCAGCAAAGAGGTCCTGCAGTTGCTCTTGGAAGCTGGCGCTTCCAAAGACCTGCAAGATGCGTCCGGGGCCACCGCACTGATTGGGGCAGCAAAGGGCCATGGCAAGTTTGTGCAGTTGCGTGCCGAATGCGGCGACTGGGGCGGGGATGAGCTGTACCAGCGCGGACAGGGCCACGTGGACGTCCTACAGCTGCTATTGGAAGCTGCTTTATCCCCCTTGGCAATTATGTTTTGTCTATATAAAACCCAAGAGGCTATTAATAATAGTATTTGTATTAAGGTTCTAAGGGGGAGTATAGGCTGGCGCGGAGAAGGATCTGTCGGAATGGTGGTCGGGCAACACCGCGCTGATTGTTGCGGCCCTGGCCGGGGATGCTGAGATTGCTCTTTGCCATAGTTGGGTACCATTTTACATGTTTAAGGGTACTCAAACCCTATAAGGAATAGAAATTTTACATGTTTAAGGGTACCCAAACCCTATAAGGAATACAAATTTATAGTTTTAAAATTCTCAAAACCATGAACTAGGTTCGGCTGCTGGTGCAAGCCGGTGTAGACAAGGACTTGCAGGGCAAGAACTGCACGGCTCTGAGCTGCGCCGCCGGACAGGGCCATGTGGAGATTGCCCGCTTGCTGTTGGAAGCCGGGGCTGGCAAGGACCTGCAGGATCCTTAGTAGTAGGGTTTAGGGTTTAGGGTTTAGGGTTTAGGGTTTAGGGTTTAGGGTTTAGGGTTTAGGGTTTAGGGTTTAGGGTTTAGGGTTTAGGGTTTAGGGTTTAGGGTTTAGGGTTTAGGGTTTAGGGTTTAGGGTTTAGGGTCCTCCTTGGCCACTCTCTTAGTAGTAGGGTAGGTAGCCTTTAACCTTTTTCGGGGTAGTAGAATCCCCTTATGATCCCAAAAAGGTTCACCTTTAGTTTTTTCTAGGTACTGGACAACTAAGGATCGGTTTTGCAACACAGCTCTGATTTGTGCTGCCTATTATGGCCATGCGGAGACTGTTCGGCTGCTCTTGGAAGCAGGTGCCGACAAAGACAAGCAGGGTGAGGACAACTGCACTGCGCTGAGCTGCGCGGCCCGAAAGGGCTATGAGGAGATTCTTAGTAGCTGAACGAATGCACTTTACACGTTTTGGGATACCATCATCCCCTTTAGAACTGAAAGTGTGCACCTGTTTTGGGGCTTATGAACTCAGCAACTCAGGATTGTTCGTCTCTTGTTGGAAGCTGAAGCCGACAAGGACCTGGAGGACAGCTTCGGGAAAACAGCTTCCGTGTACGCAGCAGAGACAGGCCATATGGAGATGGTCCGGCTCTTGGAGTCTTCAGCATCAGCTCAGGACGGATGAAAGTGGCATGTCTTCATGCTGGTGATTCGGGTTTAGGGTTAAGGTTATTGGAGAAGTAAGAGATATATCGGTTGGGATGCTCCCCCTTCTACGAACAGTCCTTAGTAGGGATGATGATAGGCCGTGCTACGAACCCTCATCAAGGGCTGTTATTGGGTGCTGCCAGGTGTGTCTGAATGGGAGTTTTGGGTTCACTGCTTGCCTTGAGATTGCTTCTTGGAGGGGATGCTTAGCGCTAAACCCTAAAAGCCTACCCAGAGAGTGGGCCCTTATTCCCTTCTTTTGGGGCGGGTTCAGGTTCCCTTATGAGCCCCTTAAACCAAAAAGGGCACCCTTTATTTTCCGAAGTTACTCTTGGGTCTAGAAGCGAGTAGGTGGCGTTGTTTGGCCTTTTCCCGGCTAATTGACGGGCGTTCTGGGGCGAAGGGCTCCAGGACCCGAGATGCGAGCAATGGTGCCCCGCACCCGAGCATGTTTTCCTTTGTCAGTATCGCGGCCCTTCTCGACATAGGGTGGGGCTTGACACATCCTTAAATCCTAAACCCTAATTGACCTTAAACCCTAAAGTATCAATCTCCTTCTGAATCCTCAGGCCCTAAACCACAACGGCCTCTATGGACCCGCAAAGCACCCAAGCTCAACCCTAAACCCTACACCCTAAACCCCAAACCCTACACCCTAAACCCTGAACCCTAACCCTAAACCCTTAACCCTAAACCCTAAACCCTAAACTGCAGGCGCGGCAAATTACCACCGAGCTCCAGGCTTCGGACATCGGGGAGGTGGATGAGCGCCTTTGCCGAGGGAGGAAAGTGTTGGGGGGGTTGGGAGGTTCTCCCTTGATACTAGCAGTCAATCCCAGACCCCTTTGGGAGGATCCAAAAAGTAGATCCCCTTAAGGGTGTCTAAAAATGACCCAATAGTAGTATAGGGCACTATTTGGCGGCTCGACTTTTTGGATCCTTCGAAAGTTTCTGGGATAGGATTTATAGTACCCCTACTATAATCCCGATAAAAAATGTTCGTAGTCCTTAATAGGTAATATAGTACCCCCTATGATCATCCCTATTTAAGCACTGTTAGTCTAAGGGGGAACATCCCAAGCTTGGGGGGTTTTGTTCAGCAAGAAGCAGGGGTCCGGTGCTTTTTTGTGTCAGATAGAGACCCTTTTGTTCAGCATAGTCCTGCTGAGGGACGATGTCGGCTTTGTTGTTTGTATCAGAAGGGAATAGTGGAGATCATGACTCTCTGTTGTAAAAATATTTGGGGTCTACGGTCTAAGGTGACATGTGCTACGCTGCTCGGATCTGGCTTGAAGGTTCATGCGAAGAAGGCCTCTCTCTCTCTCTCTCAGCCTTTATGTTTGGGTTTTTTTTCCGGATTTACCTTTATTTTTCCGGATTTGGGGTTTCGGTGTTTGGCTTTTTGTGAGGGCTTTTAGGACTTGCCAGACTTGCGGGACTTGAAACCCTAAACCCTAAACCCTAGACCCTAAACCCTAAACCCTAAACCCTAAACCCTAAACCCTAAACCCTAAACCCTAAACCCTAAACCCTAAACCCTAAACCCTAAACCCTAAACCCTAACCCTAAGCAACAGAGGAACGCCGGAAAGTCGGAGTACAAGGAGATGGCGCCTCGCACCTGGGCCTGGGCCTAGGGTAGCGTTTAAGTTTTAGGGTTTAGGGCTTAGGGTTTAGGGTTTAGGGTTTAGGGTTTAGGGTTTAGGGTTTAGGGTTTAGGGTTTAGGGTGTAGGGTTTAGGGTTTAGGGTTTAGGGTTTAGGGTTTAGGGTTTAGGGGGCTTTGGGGGCTTTGGGGGGTTTGGGGTTTCGGGTTTAGGGAGGAGTTTGGAGTTCGGAGTTTCACTCATGAACACCATAGCGCCCCGCGAACAGCGCGAACAGCGCGAACACGGCGAACACCGCGAACAGCGCGCGAACGGCGCGAACAGCGCGAACACCGTGAACAGCGCGAACAGGGCAGCGGATGAAAGCCCCAAAAAGAGGCCCCCGACAAGTCCCTTAAACCCGAAACCCGAAAACCCTTAACCCTTAATCCTAAACCCTCAACCCTAACCCCGAAACCCTAAACCCTAACCCCTAAACCCAAAACCCTAAGCCCTAAACTCTAAGCCCTAAACCCCAAACCCTAAGCCCTAAACCCTAAACCCTAAGCCCTAAGCCCTAAGCCCTAAGCCCTAAGCCCTAAGCCCTAAGCCCTAAACCCTAAACCCTAAACCCTAGCCTCCCCTCCCCCCCCCCCCCCCGCGCAACAAGTCGAAGGCAATGTCAACTTGAAGGAGCTCTCGGAGCGTCTCGGCCTCTTCCGCGGTCTGGACCGACCGGGGGGGGGGGGGGGGGAGTTTAGGGTTTAGGGTTACTTTAGGGTTTAGGGTTTAGGGCTTCAGGGATGGTGAGGTTTAAGGGGGGTCTTGGGGTCTTGGGGTCGTGCTTGCGTCTGTCAAGAATCCAGAAGATGGAAAGATATCCTGCCAATCGGAGGGGGTTTGTAAAGGTGTGGGCCCATATGAGGGGGTCGACATGGGATGGACTCCTACCCCCTTTTTCCATGGGTTAATGGGGTTCCCGCTTATTTAAGACAAACGAATGTCCCCCTAATTGCAGGTGTGCTAGTCAGAGGAAGGTGGTGGAGCCCTATCTGTTCATAGATAGTCTTCAAGGTTGCTCGGCCTTAAAGCACAAAAGCCAACTGCAGACATTGCAGAAGCACCCCCCAGAGCTGCCCAAAACTGTCGTTGCCAGGACCTCTATGGCGCGGTGGGCGAGGCACCTCCACGCATGCACCCGGGGTTGTTCTGCTTCAGGATTCGGCTTGGGGCGGAAAGACCCTTATAAGCGGTTTATAAGCCACCTTAGGATCGGGGTCGGAGGAAGGGAAACCCAGTTGCGGCAGCTCGATATCCCGACGCCTCACTCAACCCTCAAGCCCTGAAATTCCCCAATAGCCCTAGACCCTTAGGGCACACTCAATTCCATAATCTGTTCTACCCCTAAACCCCAAGCCCTAAACCCTAAACCCTAAACCCTAAACCCTAAACCCTAAACCCTAAACCCTAAACCCTAAACCCTAAACCCTAAACCCCAACCCCCCAACCCTAAACCCTAAACCCTAAACCCTAAACCCTAAACCCTAAACCCTAAACCCTAAACCCTAAACCCTAAACCCTAAACCCTATAACCCTATAAACCCTAAACCCTAAACCCTAAACCCTAAACCCTAAACCCTAAACCCTAAACCCTAAACCCTAAACCCTTCCCGCAGTCCTGCAGACCATGAAAACCCCGGTGGTCGAAGTGAAGACGGACGAGTCTGCCGCCTTCGACTCCATGTTACCTCTTGTTCCGGACCCGGGGCGGATGCTGGCTTTTCAGGGCTTCAGGGAGGTTTGTGGTAGGGTTTAGGGTTCAGGGTTTAGGGTTTAGGGTTAGAGTTGAGGGTTGAGGGTTTTGGGTTTTGGGTTCAGGGTTTAGAGGTTTAAGGCCAAATAGGAAAGTCTGCTCCATCTACAAACTTGCGGGATCAAGGATACAAAAGGGTTGGATGGTCTGAAAGCCCGCAGACTGTCGGTCACCAGAATCTCCCTCCTAAACCCTAAACCCTAAACCCTAAACCCTAAACCCTAAACCCTCCCCACAGACGACAGGATGAGGAGACCTCCGAGATGACGGTTCAGTGCGAGTCGGCGCAGGCCGGATGCCAGAAGACGTTTGCCAAACAGGGTTTAGGGTTTGAGGATTTGAGGGTTTGAGGGTTTGAGGGTTTGAGGGTTTGAGGGTTTGAGGGTTTGAGGGTTTAGGGTTTAGGGTGTAGAGTTTGGGGTTTAGGGTTGAGGGCTGTTTAGGGTTGTTTAGGGTTTAGAGTTGTGTGAGGCGCGGATCCTCAAAACTGGAGGTACTTTTGTCCCCACATACTCTCCATGTTGCAGCTCGCTACAAAGGAATAACTGCACAACAAGCTGGGCAATGTACCAATCATGAAGAGCTGCTTCCTGTGTGCCTTAACCCCCCCGTTTTCTCTTCGTGGTGTGTTGCAAGCGAGGTGGCCACCCCGTTTTTTTCGCCCATCCTTGACAATTAACTTGCTCTCTGCTTTTTCGTGTCCTCTCTTTCTGTTCAGTTCACCTCTGCTCCCTTTTGGGCTTAGGGTTTAGGGTTTAGGGCTTAGGTTTAGGGTTTAGGGTTTAGGGTTTAGGGTTTAGGGTTTGGGGTTTAGGGTTTAGGGTATTTAGGGTGTCCCGACAAGGCCAGAAATCGCTAGTTCCAGAGAACTTTACGATGCCTTCTGGCACACGATCTGCGCGCCGGCCAAGAACTCCACGTTTACAAAACTTAGGGCATTACTATAGGGGTCGGAATAAATACTCATAGTATTCCCTTATGGCCCCTTTGTAACTTTCTACAAATAACTTCAAAACCCTATTCTAATTATTGAGGCCCCTAGATTCGAGTGCGAGGGCGACAGGATCCTAACCCTAAACCCTAAGCCCTACGCCCTAAACCCTAAACCCGAAACCCTAAACAGCCGCGGCCCAGGCCATGTCAAGCGTCGAAAAGAAGCTTGGCGGCATCTTTGTATGGCTTCTCTAAGTTGGGGTTTAGGGTTTAGGGTTTAGGGTTTAGGGTTTAGGGCGTGGATACCCTGATCCCGAACCCGTTGTTGAGGGCGCCCCTTTCTCTGCATTGTGCGCAAAACACGGACCCAGTGCATAGGGAGCTAGGCGCTAAACCCATGAAGCTGGTCCTTTTTGCGAATGTGTTTCGGCCCTTGAAACGAGTTGTCAACTCCCAGGTAGGCGCTTGGGAACCCCAACTGAGATTTTGTGAGAAAAAAACGTGTTTTTTCGGGTTTTTATGCTTCAGGGTGAGACATGTTCAGGGAATGTACGGGTGATCACACCCTGGTAAGCCGGTAGGGGCGCGAAACAGTCGCCCTGAATCATGGCGCGAAAAGAAACCCTGAAACTGCCCTCTAAACCCTCTAAACCCTGAGGCCTGATGCGCGCGCCATGTCCTTTAACTTCGCCTGCAAGAGCTTCCTGAAACCCTCAACCCTAAACCCTAACCCTAAACCCTAAACCCTAAACCCTAAACCCTAAACCCTAAACCCTAAACCCTAAACCCTAAACCCTAAACCCTCGCTTCGGCTGAGGTTCGTCTCCACCTGGGGCACATCATCCTTCGACAGCAGTCGGAGTGAGCTGAACGTCGCTTCACTGGAGACCCAATGGACCAGTAATATAGGGGTCGGAAGAATTACTCATCGTTTTTTGTTAGGGTTTAGGGTTTAGCGTTTAGGGTTTACAGGTTTCGGGTTTGGGGAGATAAATGATACTAGAATACCCCCCAAAACCCTGTCCTAATTATTCAGGCCCCTACAGTAGGTTTCGGTGCTTGATATTTCGGCGCCTGCGGCGTGTTAGCCCCCTCCCGCAGATTTGCTGAACAATGCTTCAAGGCGCCCCCTCCCCCCCCCCCAAAAAAAAAAAAAAAACTTCAAAATCTGTATTTCCCATTCTTGAGACTTGCTGGAGATGTGCTTGTCGGGAGGGGCAAGGCTAAGCCGTGGCGTGCTCTCATCACTGAAGATAAGATCTCAAACCGGCGCCCCAAAATGCCGAAGCCTAAACCCAAGACCTTAAGGCCATGAAATCTCAGGGTCTCCTGCGTTCCAAGAACCCTATCTGGGTTTTGGGTTTAGGGCTTAGACCTCAAGCCTGGTGGCTAAGTAGGGTTACACAGGGGCCAACTAAGTCATGAGAAAGCTCTGCGGGACTGTTCCATGCTCGGAGGGGTGCAGGTGTTCGGATATGGGTGGCCGTCGAAAGTATGGTCCCTTTTTGGATCCCTAGAATAATACCGCACCTAATCTTAAGGGTACCCCAACAGGGGTCATACTTTTGACAACCACCCACATGGCTGAGCTCAGGCGAAACCCGACAAGGGTGGAAGCCAGAATTTGAAACAAGCTTCCCTAAGCCCCAACCTACAGAAAGCCCAACTAAGCCTTGAAACCCTGAAAGCCTTGAAGTCTCAAAACCCGAAACCATGAACCTTAAAACCCTGCCAGACCTAGAAACCCTACAGAACCTCAATGAACCTTGAAGCCATTCTAAACCCTCAACAAGCCTTGAAGCCCTACTACACCCTGAATAAGCCTTAAAAACCTGAACTAGCCTTAAAGCCCTAAAACCCTGAACAAGCCTTAAAGCCCTCAAACCCTTCATAAGCCCTCAAGCTTCACACTGAGCAGTTTATAGGGACGATACGGAGATACGATTAGACCCTAAACCCTAAACCCTAAACCCTAAACCCTAAACCCTAAACCCTAAACCCTAAACCCTAAACCCTAAACCCGACATCCCAGCAGAAGGCTGCCATCAGCGCGTCAGCTCTGGGTGCGGACTTCGAGTTTGGTGCCTTTGGGGAAGTGAGTCATTCAGGGTTTAGGGTTTAGGGTTTAGGGTTTAGGGTTTGGGGTTTGGGGTTTAGGGTTTGGGGTTTAGGGTTTAGGGTTTAGGGGGGGAGTAACAAACGACAAGACGAAACAAGGTGCCCGGCACCCCAGCTTGGACCCTGCTGAAGCTTAGGAAGCCCCGGTGCCTGTGAGAGTTCCCTCCCTCACAGAACCACAAAGCCTCGATTTGCGCGTGTCGTCCTTGCGACAGGGGCTTCATGCTCGATTTGTGCGTGTCATCCTTGCAGCAGGAGACTTTGGTTTCACACCTAGGGTTTAGGGTTTAGGGTTTAGGGGAGACAGGGTTGAGGGCTCTAGGGTTTTTAGGGCTCTACGGCAACCTAGAATTTTAGGGTTTTGGGGTGTTTAGGGGTTTAGGGCTTTAGGGGTTTAGGGTCTTGAGAGCAGGGGATTGGTTTGCTTAGGAGGACATCAGGCTGGAAGGGTGTAGGCTACGATGTTCCGGGTTTCGAAAGTGTGTGGCAGAGCCCCAACAATCCCCAGCGACTGAATACCCACTAGGTGAGGGAGTTAGAGGATTCGGTACTTTATATCCCCTTCAAGGTCTTCGGGCTTACGGTTTAGGGTCTAGGGTTTAGGGTAACCCGCAAGTTTCACTGACACCCTAAACCCCAAGAAAGGCTCCCTGAGCTACGGGCCAACCCCACCCCCCCCAAAACCAGATCTACCCTCAAACCTGCCCCTCCTAACCCTCGCCCCCATTCAAGAAATTAGGGGTACCTTATTGATAAAAGGGAATCCTACCATGTGAGGGACTATATTAGGGGTCCCCCGTCTTTTCGTAAACCCACATTTGTCGGGTGTAGGGCTTTGTTTGGGGTTTCATCCGTGTTCTTATTAGGAGTTTAGAGACAGGCAGTTCAAGCCACCGCCCAGCAAATCGGATGTATGTGTTTTTTCTTGTTTTGTTGAGGGGGGGGGTGTCCGGGGGTTATGGATGGCTTCCTGGAAGCTGAGGCGGGTCCTACAGCAAAGACAAGAGCAAAGCTCGAAGCCAGACGAAGAAGGACTCGAAAACTCAGGAGCCTCCTCTGAACCAGGTGGGACTTTACTAACACTTTATAAGTTTAGGGTTCCTCTAATGTCATATTAAGGGAGCTAAAAGTTAAACTTTTATTGGGATTGGGGGGGTTAAAGAGCAACCAAGTGAAAGCCCTTAAACCCCAAACCTTGAAACCCCCATGCCGAGGCGTGAACTGTTTTGGGGTTTAGGTTTTAGGGTTTAGGGATTGAAGAGTAGGGTTTAGGGTTTAGGGTTTTATGTGTGCAAAGAAAGAGGTCTCCTTCCGAAGCCCATCATCTTGGACAGCTTCGGGCGCATAAAGCCCTGTAGAAGGGGCTGGTATAAACAGGAACTACCCCACCTGGAACAGTCCTTACTCTTGTTCCAAACCAGGGTTCCTTTTTGCCCCCATGCTTGCTTTAAGACCCTAACGATGAACCTACCCTGTCTACATGCCCTCCACATCAAAGACGTGCGGCTCAGAAAGAAGGGACTTTTGAATGAAGGCAAGCCATTTTGGAGTTCACAGGAAGGTTAAAAGATGCCAACCCAGACACGCAGGTGTAGGGAAAAAGAGCCTGATGCAGCAGCCCCGACACTTGGCGATGAGTCAGGACCCTAAACCCCTAAAGCCCGAAACCTGAACCCTATGCCCTAAACCCATCTCTGAGCCCTCCCAAACCCTAAACCTTGAACTCCTTTTCAGCTTTGGTAGTGCCCTTTCCAGATTGCTCTGTCTCAGGAACAGACCAGGGAGACCAAGACCTTCGAAACTTGGTAGCTAGTGGAAACCCTTTCGCCTTTTCTTTGTCATAGTTGGGTAACATTTTATATTTTTAAGGGTACTTAAACCCAATAAGGCATATAAATTTAAAATTTTAATACTATACCAACCATGAACTAGTTTTTTGTTCTAGGTTCCCACAGAGGGCGCCCTCATTGTAACCCTAAACCCGAAACCCGCAAGCCCTTGTAAACAACAAGCCCTATTCAAACCCTAAACCCTCTAATCATTCCCTATGCCCCTAAACCCCAAACCCCAAACCCCAAACCCTAAACCCCAAACCCCAAACCCCAAACCCCAAACCCTAAACCCTAACCTGATTACTGGGCCACCAAGGAGAAGGTCCGGTACTTCAGCGAGCCCAGAGCATTGGTCAAGCCCCTGGGATGACCGGAAAAGGCCCACAGGTTGTTCAGGGTTTCGGATTTCTAGGGGTTTAGGGTTTAGGGTTTAGGGTTTAGGGTTTAGGGTTTCCGGGGTTTAAGTTTCGGAGTTGTAGAGGTTTAGGGTTTTCGCATTTGTAGAGGTTTAGGGCTTTCGGAGTTGTAGAGGTTTGGGGTTTTCGATTTTGTAGAGGTTTGGGGCTTTCGGTGTGTTCGAGGTTTTTAGGGGTTTAGGGGGTTTTAGGTGTTGAAGGGGCTTTAGGGATTTTAGGGGCTTTCGGGATTTTGGAGGTTGTTGGGACTCCTTGGTCTGAGGGTTTAGGGTTTAGGGTTTAGGGTTTAGGGTTTAGGGTTTAGGGTTTGGGGCTCAGGGCGCAGGAATTCTGGGTAGGCCCTTGAAAAGCATTTTATGTTTTCCCGTGTTGGGCTTGAGACGATCATGTCCGGAAGTATCGTTCAGTGGGTGTCTAGGATGCCCAGTAGTGCCCTTATTCCCCTTTTTGGGGGGTTTAGGTTTCCTTATAAACCCCTTTAAGCAAAAAAAGGGTACCCTTTTGAAGCCTAGGTTCCTGGGCAGCCTAGGTTTAGAAAGGGGCCATCCTAGTTTTTAGGTCTCCTGGCTGAAGTTGGGCTGCTGGATGCCTAGCCCCCAAGGCCGCGAACCTCCCAGTCCCAGGATTCCTCCAGAGATGCTGGAGCCCACCGAGGTAGGGTTTAGGGTTTGAGGTTTAGGGTTTGGGGTTGAGGGCTTATGGTTTAGGGCTTAGGGCTTAGGGTTTAGGGTTTAGGGCGTAGGGTTTAGGGCTTAGGGTTTAGGGTTTAGGGTTTAGGGTTTGGGGGAATTGCCGTGAGTTTAACACACCGGGTTGAGGTGTTGACAATCTGGCGGGGGAAGGGATGCTTTGTTGGGAAGACTTCTCGCGGCTAAACGAACACTGAATGTTGGCACCTCTTGTTGTTTGCACTGGCGGGTCAGAAGCCCGAAACCCTGAACCCTAAGCCCTAAACCCAATTTCTAAATTTTCTACACAACCCTGAATACAGGGCCACCCGCAATGCCCTAAACCCTCAACCCTCTTCACCCCATTAGGGTTTGGGGTTTAGGCTTTAGGGTTTAGAGTTTAGGGCTTCTGACCCACCAGTGTTACTATTTGCTTCAGAAACCCCCAAAAGTTGAAAGAGCATTCTTTTTTTAGAAGGCCAATATAAGGATCAGATGTTATCTTGTATTTTCTTGGGGGCGATTCTAAAGCAAATAGTAGCAATAAACCCTAAACCCTAAGCCCTCTGCACCCTAAACCCTCTTGAGCCCCTGACAGCCAAGCAAGAAGCCGGATGTAAACCCCAAACCCGGAACCCTAAACCCTAAACCCTAAACCCTAAACCCCCTACCCCCTAAACCCTCTTGAATGGACCCAAGCCCGAAGCCGGGTCCACGAGGCGTTTCGGGATGCGTTGCGGGAAGCCTCGGACGAGATGGTGGAATTCAATGCCGGGCTGCCTTTCAAAGATCCCGAGGCCGGGTAGTAGGTCGGGACTGCAACTCCTAAACCCTGAACCCTGAACCCTAAACCCTAAACCCCCAAACCCTAAACCCTAAACCCTAGACCCTAGACCCTAAACCCTAAACCCTAAACCCTAAACAACCAAGAGGTTTCAGGGGGGAGGGTGTAGGAGGCCGCAGACCCTGAGTCTGTAAGCTGCTTGTGGCTGATCTCTCTCTTTCTCTCTCTCTCTCTCTCTCTCTCTCTCTCTCTCTCTCTCTCTCTCTCTCTCTCTGCCTAGCCCTATTGGCTGCAAGGGCCCATGATGTCAGCGGCACTTTCAGGTCCGGTTGAGGGTTTAGGGTTTAGGGTTTAGGGTTTAGGGTTTAGGGTTTAGGGTTTAGGGTTTAGGGTTTAGGGTTTAGGGTTTAGGGTTTAGGGTTTAGGGTTTAGGGTTTAGTCTGTCATGCTTTGCTTGCGACACGTCTCTGTGACGGCTTCTCCGGAGCAAAGTGATGGGTGCCGCCCACGCAGCAGCGCTTTCCGCGGCTGCCTGAAACCCTCAAGCCCCAAGATGCTGCCTGCTGAATCCCTGGACTGCTGTTCAACATGCGTGGTCCAGTGTAGGTGGTTCCGTTTAAGGAGGATTGTATACATAAGAATGAATACTCTGTTTCTATACAAGACAGAGACAGAGACAGACAGAGAGAGAGAGAGAGAGATGCATGGTTTCCAAGAAGATCTCAGTCCAGGCGCGATCCTGCATCGAGACACATTTACGAAGCACTTTCGATGTGCAAGATGTGCCCCCTGGAAGGCCATGAGGCCCGCACGAGCCGCTGGTCCACTACCAGGGCTTAGGTTTTAAACGCTTAAGGGCTTTGACCCTAAACCCTTAAAAAAGCACGAAGAACCTAAACCCGAAACCCTAAACCCTAAAGGGATTGGGTTTTCGAGGTGAGGAAGGTTGCGCTGCACTGCTTGGTGGCTGTTCTGGGAAAGTTGTCATCTAGGCCCGGCTCGCAACCTGAGGGCCAAGTTTCATCGAAAAAGGTTTAGGGCTTAGGGTTTAGGGTTTTAGTGTTTAGGGTTTAGAGAGAATAGTATGAATTTCGCAGGATGTGCCCAAAACAGCGAAGATGGTTGTGGTGCAGCTGAGGATGACGCGGATCGAATCGCAAAAGCGAAACGATATGAGGCTGCCCGCAGCATGCAGGGACGGGTGATTCTTTGGGATGGAAGGACTTCGAGTTGAGCTGGTTGCGGCACAGGAGGCGAGGGTGTAGCTGCAATCCTACCATTCATCCCACTGTAGCTTCGTCTAGTCTTTCAGGCTTGCTTTGTGGGCTTTGGCATACTGCAGGCTCCTGCTCACACGTCCGGAGGTCACGGACCGTCGCCTCGAAGGAAGAAATGCATAGGTGCTCATAGAAGTAGAAAAGTAGATACCACACATAACAGTAAACCCCTAAACCCCTAACGCCTATTTGTTGTCCCACACTCCCTTGTGCCAGGCCTGGACGGAAGGCGAGAAGAAGAAGGCGAGTCCTTGAGGGCTAAGGGCGCTTAAGCCCTACCTTGGACCCCTTCAAACCTTCGATAGGGTTAGACGTGTATAGCTTAGGGTTTCGGCTAGGAGTGTATAGCTTAAGCTTTAGGGTTAGGGCATAGGAATGTATAGTTTAGTCTTTAGGGTTCAGGGCTTCGGAACGTATGCCAACCGTAAGGCTGAGCCAGCTCCCTCGAGGTAGCAGGTGCCACCGTGGAACACGGAGGGGGGGGGGGGGGGGGGGGGGGGTTAAACCCCAAACCCTAAACCCTAAACCCTAACCTCGAAGTGTTGCGCGTCCAGAGTCGGGGGTGGCCATCATAGAGGCCATAGCTATACATGCCTAGGTACAGTTTTGGTCCGCCGCCCCCTTTAGGCCTCTTGATGGCTTAGGGTAAGCGCTGCACCCTGTGCTGAGAGGCATATCCTGGACTGGTGGCGCCCCTGCTGCTCGGGCACACGTTGAGGAGACTCAACTCCGAAACCTCTTTCCCTGACACTCAGTCAAAGCTAGCTCCTTATCACTTACCAACGTACCCATACGATCGGGACGAGAGCCCACAGCGCTCCATTCCTAGGTTTCCATTAGGCTTAATTATCCTTAAAAAAACCTGAATATGGGATGAACCTAGGTGGGGGGGGGGGGGGGGGTAGCTCTAAACCCTAAACCCTAAGCCCTAAGCCCTAAACCCTAAACCCTAAACCCTAAACCGCGGTAGTAGGGAAAATCCATGATCCATTGTTCCCTCTTTTGCCTCACAAGGCTCGCTGAGTTTGGCTCCCACGTCTGCACGAATGTCCTCCTGGGCGGCTACTGGAAGATTAAAGCCAAGCACCCTGGCCCAAAGCCACCCCAAACCCCAAACCCTACACCGTAAGACCCTAAGACCCTAAACCCCCTCTGTGAAGTAAACCTTCAAGGTGTTGATGGTGAGGGCTTGGGGCTTAGTAAGGGAGCGCGCACGATGTACACCGCACAGTTTGAGCCCCCTAGCACATGTCTCCGTGCACTCCTGGACGCTGAGTTGACTAAACCCTGGGTTTAGGGTTTAGGGTTTAGGGTTTAGGGTTTAGGGTTTAGGGTTTAGGGTTTAGGGTTTAGGGTTTAGGGTTTGGAGCTCAGAAGCAGCCCAAGACTCGACACGCGACGCCGGGCATTGAGGTTCTCAAGCGACTCGAAAATCTCCGTGAACCAAATCTCGTCGATGGCTACAGAGGCCGGGGACAAGAAGGATTGAGGGGGGTCGGTTTAGGGTTTAGGGTTTAGGGTTTAGGGTTTAGGGTTTAGGGTTTAGGGTTTAGGGTTTAGGGTTCCAGGCCATTGAGGAGGCCGCATCCTCGAGCAAAAGCCTCGCTGGCAGCGCCTCGGTGGGCAAAGGCATCGCAGGACACGGGGGGGTTTAGGGTTTAGGGTTTAGGGTTTAGGGTTTATAGGGTATACAGGGTTTGGGGTTTGGGGTTTAGGCATTCTTCGGGCCCTGAAGACGTTTCCGATATTCGGGGGTTCCTTATTTGGGGTCTTTTGATACCAGGGAATCCTACGATTTTTGGGGCTATTATTGGGGGCCCCTTTTCTGCGACAACTCCCACGTCACTTGGTCTGGGGGGGGCGGTGTTCTTCGGAGTTGCTTGGGTTTTGAGTGTGAAGAACCCTATGCCTGTGCGCATGGGGTTCAGGGTTGTCGGTGTTAGCGCCCGCATCCCAAAACCCTAAGCCCTAAAACCGAAGCCCCTAAACCCTAAACCCCAAACCCTAAACCCTAACTAAACCTTAAATTCTAAACGGAAGGACAGATCATGAAGTACATGGGCGTCCCGACCGGGAGCTTCTCTGCGCAGTACGGCAGGGCCAAGCTCCATCAAAACTCCGAGACTTGGGCTGCGTATGGGAGCAGCACAACTTAGGGTTTGGGGTTTAGGGTTTTGGGTTTTGGGTTAAGGGCTTAGGGGTACTCATCCCGCACGTCAAACCTCGACAAGCAGGTTTCAGTCGTGGATCCAAGTAGCAAATCTCGCTTGTTGAGGCGAGCCCGTTAGAGAAAGCCAAAGAGACCGAAAACTGGCCCAACACGTCCAATCCCCCCAACAGGGACTGCCTTCTTGACATAGAGTCACGCACATGCGCACGAGCTTCTCCGACGGCCCCTGTCCTTGACTTGGGTTTACAGCTCAAAACATGGAGCATTGTCTGGCAGTAGCGCCGGCAATGCTCCAGGGGAAAGGGAGCGGAGGGATCTCCCTTCATGATCCCACAAGGCCCCCTCTCGCTGTCCCTGTAGTCTAAGGTCATGATATAGAGTGTATAATCAGAGCCAATGTACCTAAACCCTAAACCTTAAACACTAAACCCTAAACCCTAAACCCTAAACCCTAAACCCTAAACCCTAAACCCTAAACCCTAAACCCTAAACCCTAAACCCTAAACCCTAAACCCTAAACCCTAAACCCTAAACCCTAAACCCTAAACCCAAATTAAGGGCCCATCCTTCGCTCAGCCCTGTACGTCTTTCCACCATCGCCCAAAAGGAGCTGTGCCCCCCCATGGCCAAGTGCGCAAGGCTTTTGGATGTCCAGACCAAGCCGCCAAACCCTAAACCCTAAACCCTAAACCCCTATAAACCTATAAACCTATAAACCTATAAGCCTATAAACCTATAAACCCATAAACCCATAAACCTATAAACCTATAAACCCTAAACCCTAAACCCGAAGCTTCCCGACGCCAAAAGCACAAGGAATCCCACGCCGAAGCATCGAGCACGGACGAGTCGACCAGCGAGCAGAGCTCGGTCATGGACGTCATGCAGGCAGAAAGTCGTCACAGCTTCGGGGGCAGCCCATGAAGTTCCCAAGGGTCGCTGGCTTGGAGGGTTTAGGAATGGCCTTGGAATGTTTTCTATGTCCCCTCGTTGGGTTGACGCGGATCTTGTTTAGGAGCAGTGTGTCAGAAGGTCAGGGGCCTACGGCTTGGAGATGTTTCGAGTTGAGAGAGATGCTCCGTGTTCAGGGTTGCAAGCACGAGTCTCGGGCATCCCGCGGCATCTCGAGCACCCATAGGTTTTTGGGGCCGACGCAAAAGAAGCTTTGACGGGCCCAAGCGGAGGGTGTCGCCGATAAACTCGGCAGAGGCACGAAGGCGCACTCCCTTGAGCTGCAAGATCTTGGTGCTCGGGGGTTTAGGGGTTTAGGGTTTAGGGTTTAAGGGTCTAGGGGTTTAGGGGTTTAGGGGTTTAGGGGTTTAGGGGTTTAGGGGTTTAGGGGTTGGTTATTGACCTGCCGACGCCAATGCCAATGCCTGCAGCTGCGGGGCCATGATAGACAGGTCAGAAAGAAGTCGGCCGGCCGGCCAAGAGATAAGCACATTTCATGTGGCCGAGGGCCTTAAAGCGAGGTCTCGCCAAGTGGAGGGCATCTTGCCCAACTACGTCAAAGAGTGACTATGTTGTAGGGTTTCGGGGTTAGGCTTTGCAGGCTCCTTCCTTCAAGAATCCGGACCCTTAGACGCTTCACCTTTTTCAAAAGAAAGCCAGACTAACCCTTTCCCTTTGGTCAAAGTTACCAACACCCTAAACCCTAAACCCTAAACCCTAAACCCTAAACCCTAAACCCTAAACCCTAAACCCTAAACCCTAAACCCTAAACCCTAAACCCTAAACCTAGAAGATCGTGAGCCCCGCACTTCCAGGAGTGGAAGGGTGGAATCAGCGGGGCTCCGGCTGCAGAGTGGCGCGAGAGCTTGCGCGACTCTTGGTCTCGTACAGTTCCTCGTTTTTGTTGGGAAATCTAAATCTTAGCCTTCTAGTTTTTTGTTGTTGGGGGAGAGACGGATAGGCCCTAGATGTTGAGGAAGGAAAAACCTAAGCCCCTGAGTCTCAACTAAGGCGCAAGGAGATGAGGTCTCCAGTTACCTGAGTCACGTGCTCATAAAAGAGCCCTTACACCCAGATCCTTCTAGCTTCCTGACTATGAACCCCACACACACGGAAGGACCCGGGTTTTGCAAGCTGCTCAAATATGGACGCAGTTGCTGCTAAAACAGCCATCTTTGCACAAACCTAAGGTTTAACAGAATGAAAGCTGGAAGTGTCAAGAATACATGTCGATCTTTGCCGAGCCATGGTTGCTCCCCCCCCCCCTTGAAGAACCTCATAAAGGACCCTAAACCCTCAACCCTCGAACCCTCCTTCTAGTTTCTCTCTTATAGACCCTACGACCTGGCAAAAACCCATAAAGATCAATTAAAGCCCAACTCCTTCCAGTTTCTTTATCATGAACCCTACAACCTGGAGAAACAAAAAACAAACAAACACACAAAAGCCCAGGACAGCGAGAACTGGAAGTTGATTGATCGCTTCGTGCCCCGACGGCAGAAACTTGATCTCAGCCCCAGCTGCGGGGACATGAAGCTAAACCCCAACCCCAAACCCTAAACCCTAAACCCTAAACCCTAAAAACCCCAAACCCTAAACCCCAAACCCTAAAGTCTACACCCTAAGCCCCCAAAAGCCCGAGCCTAGGGTTGGCTTCAGAAGTTTGACAAAGTGCGGCTTCCAGGTTTTGGTTTTGTTTGTGCCTCTGAGGGTGTGGCTAACAAAGTCTCTTGACCGGCTGGACTTTGTTTGCAGAACTGTCGCTGCAGCTTTCGGGCCCCGACAAGAACATCTGATGGGGGGCCCCCCCTTTGCATAGACTTCGGCGGTTGAGGCTTTGGGCTTCGGGCTTCGAGAGTTTTTGGGTTTAAGGTTTAGGGTTTTTGGGGCTTCGGGTTTCGGAAGGGGTTTTTCGGACTGAAGCCACGAGAGAGCAGACAGGTGGATCAGTGCTTCGGCATCTGGGAGCCTTGGCCAAAAGATGGTGCAAGGAAGGCAGTAGCGATGAAAGGCATCGGGCGTGGGGAACGTATTTAGGGTTCAGGGCTTAAGGGATTAGGGTTCAGGGCGGAAGCGATGTTAAGCCCAGCATGGTGAGAAGGGCACGTCACACCCCTAGCCACACCAGCTAGCTTCAAGTTACATGGACTTGTCTTCGCAATCACCAGAAGCCTCGGTGAGACACAGGAGTGGATTGACGAGAGCTATCACGTGGACCTCCCGAATGCCATGCAGCTCGGTCCTCCTTGGCGGTTTAGGGTTCAGGGTTTAGGGTTTAGGGTTTAGGGTCCTTCTTAGTAGTAGGGTAGGTAACCTTTAACCTTTTTTGGGTAACAGAATCCCCTCATATTCCCAAAGGTGAACCTTTAGTTCCCCTAGGTACTGGACAACTAAGCACTTTGCAGATCTGGGCTTGGGCTTCCCGTTTGTGGCTTTGGGGCGCAAGGCTGTCCTTGACAGCACGTGGCCCCCATCGAAATAATTGAGCAAAAAAGTACATGGCACCAAGTTCAAACCTGGGTGATCTAGTGGCGTGCCCCCAAAACCATCGAAAAAAATAGAATAGTCGAGAACATGGCACCAAGTTCAAAATTGCGCGGCTCTATTTGCCAGATCCTAGTTCTGGGCCAGTGCTTAAGGAAATCGGCCTGGGCCGACAAGTTCGTGGACAGCCTTGATTGGGGCATGAAGGAGAGAGCACTGCTGGGATGGATTCTGGGAGCACAACTCGCATCTTCGTTGGGTGGGGGGGGGGGGGGGGGGGGCTCTTGAAATCATGGGCCTTCAAAAAAAAAAAAGCCCAGGTGCCCACAAGGCGGGCCCACGTGGATCCACCTCACGTTCTGCAAGAACTCGCCAATGTAAACAGCAGTAAGAGCCGTGCAGCGCCCTAAACCCTAAACCCTAAACCCTAAACCCTGTGCAGGATGAGGCCAAAGAGGACATCAAGAAGGCTGGAGCACTATGCCCTTGCCTTCTCCGATGAGAGTAACCTGGACGGGTGCAGATCCCTAGGTCCTACAGCCCGAAACCCTGCACCCGATAAGCCGCGGGTGCAGACAGGCTTTGTCCAGCCACTACGAGGGCAGCCTCTTCGTTCACCTTCAGCATGCATGCAACAAGTTGTCGCTCGGCTTGGCTTATGGAAGTGGAGAGAGTCACAGCTCCCTTCCCTCCGCTTCTGACACCTAGGGAGAGGTAGCCCTACAGTACCACCCCCCTTGAACAACCCTTGAGCACAACGGCCCTAAACTCCCTAAGCTCCCTAGACTCCCAAAACCTTAAACTCCCCAAACCCCAGCCTTCCTAAACCCTTAACCCTAAACTTCCTAAACCCCAAAGCTCCTTAAACCCTAAGCTTCCTAAACCCTCAACCCTATACCCTAAACCCTAAACCCTAAACTCCCCAAAAACCCCCAGGAGTGGCGTGCTGAGCAAGAGGACACGGCGCTGCGTCACCTTCGAGGCCGGGTCATGGAGCTCCTCGGGCCGGAACTTGAGAGAAGCGTTTGAGGGTGGAGGGCCTTCCAGGGTTTGGGGTTTGGGGGTTTAGGGTTTAGGGTTTAAGGTTTAGGGTTTAGGGTTTAGGGTTTAGGGTTTAGGTTCATTTAGGGTTTAGGGCTTCAGGGTTCTGCTCAACAGCAGCGATGTCAAGCACTTTCGGCTGTGGTCAGACGAGCCCAAAAACCCTACAAGCACGCAGCCACCTGAGCTGAAACCCGAAACCCTAAACCGTAAACCCTAAACCCTAAACCCTAAACCCGAAACCCGAAACCCTAAACCCTAAACCCTAAACCCTAAACCCTAAACCCTAAACCCTAAACCCTAAACCCTAAACCCTAAACCCTAAACCCTAAACCCTAAACCCTAAACCCTAAACCCTAAACCCTAAACCGCATCCGCCGAGAACTCCTCGGCTACATGCCCCTGGCGCGGCCCTTCGAGGAGCTGCGCCTCCACGCCTTCGCCTATGCGGGCTGCAAGCAGCCCCTCGTCCCGGCACCTCACGAGTTCGAACACGAAGTAGTAGCCCTAAACCCTAAACCCTACACCCTAAACCCTAAACCCTAAACTCTAAACCCTAAACTCTAAACCCTAAACCCTAAACCCTAAACCCTAAACCCTAAACCCTAAACCCTAAACCCTAAACCCTAAACCCTAAACCCTAAACCCTAAACCCTAAACCCTAAACCCTAGCCCTAAACCCTAAACTTCCAGGCAAGCCGAAGGCTTCTCTGCGGGCTTGGCCGAGGGCTTCCTCTTCAGCGACACAGATGAGGCGGGCTGGGCTTGGCATTCATGGGGTTCGTGCATGTAGGGTTTACGATTTAGGGTTTCGGGTTTAGGGTTTAGGGTCTAGGGCGTTCAGGGTTTACGGGCTTAACAGAGTTCGAGAGTCCGCGGGCTTCAGGTGTAAGGATCAAAGTGGGAGTTCGCTCGCCCAAGACCCTAAACCGCTAGATCCCCCCTGAAATCCCCCTTATAGCCCCCCTTCATACCCTACCTCAAACCCCGAAACCTAAACCCTAAACCCCCAAACCCCTACGCTCTCAGGTGGAAAGGCCCTAAACCGCTCAATCCCCCTATACCCCCCCCCTCCATCATAGCCCCCTAAACCTAACCCCTAAACCTCAACGCTCAAAGCCTAAACCCTACATCCCCTCAAACCCCCAACGCCCTCAGGTGGAAAAGGATCCTCCCCCGTCTAGCGATGACTGGAGCGTCAAGGCCTGGACGACATGGTGGCTGCGGCACTGAGTGTGGTACATGCGTTTGTCTTGTGTTTTGTTAACCTTGCTTTGGATGTTATCTGTTTTTTTGTAAACGTTCAAAGCCTTAGACCTTAGACCTTAGACCCTAAACCCTAAACCCTAAAGCCCCTCAAACTTCCGAAAATTCCGGTAGCTGTCAGAGAGCTGAAGCCAGCCCGAGGTGGGGACGCCTCTGGGGATCTGGCAAGAAGCTGCACTACGGTAAGGTAGAGCCACTCGGAGTCCAACTAACTCTTTTAGGGTTCAGGGTTCAGGGTTTAGGGTTTAGGGTCTAGGGTTTAGGGTTTAGGGTTTAGGTTTTAGGGTTTAGGGTTTAAGGTTTAGGGTTTAGGTTTTAGGGTTTTAGGGTTTAGGGTTTAGGGTTTAGGTTACCCTAAACCCTAAACCAGCCCTATGAGGTCATGTCAGCCAACACATTGAGTCGAGTTAGGGTTTTGCGGGGTTTGGGAGGCTCGGGGGAGATGTGTATCCTTCACTCTAGCCCCCGAAGCCTCCCTAAGCCCAAGTTCTCATGCGGTTCAGGGTCTAGGTGAGTAGGGTTCTTGTGAGGTGGGAAGAATGCTGCCTCACAGCCCCCACACAGGCCTGCGACCTCTAGCAGCTACCGTCGCACACTTTCTCGAACGCATTGAGGCTGCGACATCCAGCTTGGGCAACGGCCCATCGTAGTTTTTGTATTATCCCTGGTTGGGTTCAAGAGTAATTATATCGTTCAGGAACATGTTGGTGCAATGTCAAGGTCCAGGCTAGTGACCCTTACATTTGAGCTCACTCACCCCTGGACAATTCCAGCAAGCACGGGAGTCAAATCCTGCTCAGACCGTTCAATCAAGAAGTATCGGTCGAACTGGGACTAGGGGCTTCGGTACCTCTTGTGGCATTTTTCTTGTGTTATCTTCCTGAAGGCGTCAGGAACCCACGTGCCAGCACCCAAGCCCCGAACCCTAAGCTTTAAACCCCAAGCCCCAAGCCCAACATAGATTCCCCCAAACCGTAAACCCTAAACCCTAAACCCTAAACCCTAAACCCTAAACCCTTTCGTGACCTCTGAGGCAGAACAAGATGACGACCTTCGCCATGAGGTGTCTACGTGGGACTGGCATGAAGCAGTTCCCGAAAGAGACGCTGAGATGGGATTTAGGGGGCTTCAGGTATAGGGTTTAAGGTTAAGGTTTTAGGGTTTAGGGTTTAGGGTTTAGGGCCAGTTTAGGGTTTAGGGTTAGATTGGGATTTAGGGGGTTTAGGCTCAGGGTTTTAGGAGGCTTAGGGTTCAGGATTCAAGGATGCAGGGTTTAGGGGCTTTAGGGTTTTAGGCTTCAGGGGTCGAATATTCAGGGTTTAGGGCTTGGGGTTTAGAGTTTAGGGTTTGAGGGTTTAGGGGGCTTAGGGTTTTTAGGCTTCCCGGGTTGAGAGGGTTGAGGATTCCGGGTGGATTAGGGTTTAGGGTTTTGAGGTTTAGGGTTTAGGGTTCAGGGTTTAGGGTTTAGGGTTTAGGGTTTCGAGGGGAGGGCTTTGGCCCTTGGGATGGCGAAGGTTGAAAGAAGACGGGTTTCAGGGTTCAGGGTTTAGGGGTGGCCAGCCAGCTCTCGACGGCCAAAGCCCTGCCCCCCCAAACCTAAAAACCCTAAACCCTAAACCCTAAACCCTAACCCTAAACCCTAAACCCTAAACCCTAAACCCTAAACCCTAAACCCTAAACCCTAAACCCGAAACCCGAAACCCTAAACCCTAAACCCTAAACCCTAAACCCTAAACTCAAACCTACGCTTGCCCAAAGAGCGCAGCAACTCAGGAGGATATCGATACAAGCCGAGAATCTGACGAGGGCCTTTGAGGTCTATACCGAGGCGTTTTGAGGGCTTAGGATTTGGGGTTTAGGGTTAGGGTTTAGGGTTTAGGGTTTAGGGTTTAGGGTTTAGGGTTTAGGGTTTAGGGTTCAGGGTTCAGGGTTCAGGGTTCAGGGTTTAGGGATTTTGACTTAACCAGAGACGCCGGGGCTTTAGGGTTTGCAGGTACTTTTGTTGTTTCTTTTTTGCCGGGGGGGGGGGGGGGGTTGTAAAGGATTTTAAGGTCGAACCCGTAAGCCCTGAACCCAAAAGGAAGTTAGCACCATAAAGCCCTTCGACTCCTGGAGCCCTCTTTTGGAGGCTCTCTGAGGGAAGACCAGCAACACTACGCAATCGGCAGCAGTATCTCGACGGAAAGCCATAGGAATCCGCTCTCCATGCGCGGCTTCGGGAGCCAAACCATGTCGGAGCGCGGCAAGGGCCAAGGCAAGGCGTTCGAATTAATGGTAGGCATTCTCCGCCTTCCTGTGCCCAAGGCGCGCAAGGGGGTGCAGAAAAGAAGAGCATGAATCCCACCATCCTTTCTAAGAGCGCAGTCGATGTCCTGATTTCCGTACTCGATCAGACAGCGAGCCTTCGATTTGTGCGTCTACTTCAACATGTGTCTCCCTGCTCAGCCAGGCAGTTGCTCCCTGCGCAGGGTTTAGGGTTTAGGGTTTAGGGTTTAGGGTTTAGGGTTTAGGGTTTAGGGTTGAGGGTCTTCATAAATTTCCTTTGACCAGCTATGACGGCGGACACTTGTCCTCAGCAGGGACAGCATTTGTCGCGCGAGTTGGGACTCAGAAGCCCCCCCCATCCTCGGAAAGTGCAGCAGAATTTGGGAGGCACTCGGAAGGTCCCAAATCCTCCGGTTAGGGTTTAGGGTTTAGGGTTTAGGGTTTAGGGTTTAGGGTTTAGGGTTTAGGGTTTAGTTTTTAGGGTTTAGGGTTTAGGGTTTAGGGACAGGTGACGATGTTGCAAGTCCCCCTGTTGATGTGGCATCGGAAGCTTTCAGCCGCTCTCCTGCGACGGACTTGGAATCACAGACGTGTCAACACGCCAAGAGGACTGTTCATAGGATAGCTCGGGCTCAACAGAGTTTTTGCCACGGATCACACGTTAGCTACGCAGATGGCCCTGAGGTTCAGTTATTGCTATTGGTACCCTTAACACCTTAAGCGCGTATAAGGGTCTAACTTTTAGGGCAGGATTTGAGGTCTAGGGTCCAGAAACCCTAAACCCTAAAACGCGGGCTTAGCGCTCCAAAACCCCTAAATTAATCCTAAACGGATTCCTAAACCCTAAACCTCAACCCTAACCCCGAAACCGTACACCCTGAGTTGCGGGAGGCTCAAACTGCGTGTCACAACCGAAACTACGCGGCGGGCCTCTCTCTGGGAGAGCCTTGGTGCGCAGCTGATCGTTCACTTCTGCTTGAAAGCCGGTTAGGGTTTAGGGTTTAGGGTTTAGGGTTTAGGATTTAGAGTATACGGACAGTCCTGAATAGGGGATTATAATAGGGGGGGGGGGGGGGGGGGGGGGTACGATAATCCCTACTAAGGATTGTTAGAATGATCAACGGGGAGTATCCCCCATGGGTACCCTGTTTGGGTTCTTCGAATACAGACTTGCCCCAACTGCTCATCTAGTTTTAGGGAAGGGAGCACCCCTGCGGCTCTTAGGGTACTAGGACGGGCACGAGGAGGTCTAGAGCAACGACATGTTGTGTTAAGTTATGGCATGTGGCGTCCGACTCTGATGTAGTTTGCCTCGTCTCCAACCAGGATCTGGGGCTACTTTGCTTCGAGCCCGAGATTGTGCACTTCGAGTACATGCTCCTGCCCCATGCCATTCAAAAGTGAAGAGTCTTGTTAAGGCCAGCACCCCTAATGACCTAAACTGACCATGAACAGGTATTCTTTTCCTCATTGGTTATACCCGCAAATTCTTTGAACACCCGCTCATTGTGCAGAGCCCCCTGGTAGCTTTGTTGAAAAGGTGGACTGGGAATCAGGTTTAAGCAACACGTTGGGGCGGTGTCAGTAGGAGCCTCGGACAGAAGCAACTTGCAGAAGAAAGTCGGGAAACGCTCGCGCCATCCAAGATATCGGTTTCTCGGCTAGCCAACCTCGACATAATGTTGGCCCTCGCAGTGTTGATGTTCTAGCTTTGTGAGTTGCAAGTGCACATTGAAACCACCTGATGCTCCCCCTCAACATCCCTCAACCCTGAAGCCCTAAATACTAAGCCCCTAGCATTGCAGGACATTCTGAACCTTGGGACGTGCTCTCTTGTACTCCCAGCCCTTAATAGGGATTACGGGATTACAGTACCCCCATTCGAATCCCTACAAAGGACGATTAGCATAAGGGGGAGCATCCCAAACCTTATAAGCCCTAAACCCTAAACCCTAAACCCTAAACCCTAAACCCTAAACCCTAAGCCCACATCTCTGAGGAACCACGTGCCGAACTCACCGAACATGACCTGGCTCGCCTTGGAAGCAGCGACACCCGCTGGTGATTCAGCACTGGGACTTTAGGGTTTAGGGTTTAGGGGTTAGGGTTTAGGGTTTAGGGTTTAGGGTGGTTTAGGGTTTAGGGTTTAGGGTTCAGGGTTTAGGACGCCTAAGCACACCGAAATGGGGGTTTACGAAGATAGGAGTTCAGAGACCTGCAGCATAGCGGGTTTAGGGGTCTAGGGGTTCGGAAAGCCGTAGACCCCACAACCCCAAACCTGAGAGAACCCTGAACTTCCCGCCAAGAACCTCGATGCTGCAAGCAGCGCACATGTTTTGCACTTCTTCCTTCCGAGATCTCAGCCAAGGAACTGGTGCAGAAGCAAAACCTGGGACACCGGCTTCCCGACAGAATTCCACGAGAGCCTGGATGGACATACTCAGAGGCTCAGCTGAGGAGGTTTAGGGTTTAGGGTTCAGGGTTTAGGGTTTAGGGTTTAGGGTTTAGGGTTTAGGGTTTGGGGCAACTTCCCCCGCGGATGGACATACTCGGAAGCTCAGCTGAGGAGGGGGGCAAGCCTTGGGGCTTTTGGTGCTTTGAGGTTCAAGGCCCAGGGTTTGGAGCTCCCCTGGTTTAGGGTTTAGGGTTTAGGGTTTAGGGTTTAGGGTTTAGTGGTTAGGGTGTAGGGTGTAGGGTTTATTGTCTAGGGTTTGGGACAACATCCCCCACACCAACTGTTTTGGGACCAGACCCGCTCGACGAAGGAATCGCGAAGTGGCAAACACTGCCGTGCTGCCTCTCGGTGGGCAATTAGGCTTACCCGAATAGTAAGCTCTAGACACAAATGTGTATTGTTGTCATCGGTGAGTGTATTTGTGTGTTCCTTATGAATATTGGTGAGTGCATACACTTGGTGTCCTTTTGGTGATACGAGTACTACCAAAAACCCCTACTGCAGATCCCTATACCCGAAACCCTAAACCCTAAACCCTAAACCCCGCAACCTTAAAGGAGCTCACGTGTTCGGCTCTCTCTTTTCCAACAAAGCTGGGAGGCTTCGGCGAACAAAATTGCGTTACGCTACCGGGAAAAACCAGCCCTTCTATTGTATATCCATGTGTTGCTACGGTCAGAGCCCAGGGAAATTACAGGACCAAGGACTTGTTTGACAAGTTCTACTCCTAAGATGTGCGGCTCACCCTACACCCTATGAACCCTTAAGCACCCATCCTTATTTTCCTATGATGGTCCCTTTGTATCTATACTATAATAGCCCCCCGAAAACCCTATTCAAATCATCCAGGCCCCTATATTACCCTCTTCGCGCTTCCCGCCGTTTAAGCTCTGGTCCAGAGAGCGCAACATCGAAACCCTACAGCCAATCTGCCTTGTGCGGGGTTTAGGGTGTGCGGCTTCGGGCTTGTTGGGCTTAGGAATACGTCAAACCAAACCCAATATCCTAGTCCCCAGAGGGTTTGGGGGTGGTGGTTCTGTCGGTGCTCAGGAACATGGCCTGTCTTGGCTTGAAGCTCCCGCCTGAGATTCAGTGCCCGGGCAGATGAGAAGGCTCTTGAAGCATCCCTAAACCCTAAACCCTGAACCCTAAACCCTAAACCCATGAGGTTCGAGGGTTTGTTCCGGGGTTTTGGAGGCCTAAGCCCCTTGATCTGGGGATGCCGGCAGGCGCATGAAAAAATCTTGTGAAATCTACCACGCTCGAAAACCTTGGAATCATGGCACTTACACAATGGTTTGTGGGGCGGCGCCTACGGGCCCCTGTAGGTTTAGGGTTAAGGGTTTAGGGTTTCGGGCAGAAGCACTGTTGTCTCCTGCGCGCAGAGATGGTAGACCCGTGCAATCGGAACGCTACGGGGGGGATCTGGCTCTTAGGGCTTAAGGAGATAAAAGGGCATGGCCCCCCAAAAAAAACCGCGGACCCCTCCATCTTTATGATCTTTTGCCCTCCCAAATCGAACCACGAGCATATCATTCTATGCCCCGGAATGAGGTCAATAAGGACATGCGGCTTAGAGCTTCATGCCACGCTTTGCGGGCTGGGACTGCACTGCTGAAACCCCTAGCCCGAGACTTTGTAATCCCTGAACCTGAAACTCTATAAACCCAAAACCCCTAAAGCCCAACCCCCAAAACCCCGAAACCTGTAAAATCCCTAAAGCCCTAACGAAGAAGGGTAGGTGGACCCTAAACCCTAAACCCTAAACCCTAAACCCTAAACCCTAAACCCTAAACCCTAAACCCTAAACCCTAAGCCCTAAACCCTAAACCGCAATCTTGAGGTAGGTGGGCTCGCAACTCAAGAGCTGAGGATGGCGAATCGCAAGCGCCGGAGATTCGAAGTTGAGCCCTGGCCCACTTGGGGTTTAGGGTTTTGGGTTTAGGGTTTAGGGTTTAGGGGCTACGAAGCACGTGGGGCTTAAGGACTAGGATTCAGGGTTTAGGGTTCGCGGGTTTAGCGTTTAGGATTCAAGGTTTAGAGATTAAGGTTTGGAGCGTAGTCCAGAGTTGAGCTGGCTGCGGGGGGGGGGGGGGGGGGGAAATTGGGGGGGGGGGGGGGGGGGGCTGTCGTTGTTAGTGTGTTGAAATTTTGAGGGTTTAGGGTTTAGGGTCTAGGGCTACACCCAGATGTTGCGAGTAGAAGCCCCTAATGAAGGACCTGTGGGCTGAAGGTGTTTGCATGTTTGGGGGGGTGCGAAGGTAGGTGGCAACAGAGCAGAACCATCTTGGTGTAGCCGTGTGCTTGCTAAGACAACATCGACGACAAGCACAACGACAACGACAACAACTACCACGAGCACTACAACCACTACAACTACGACGACAACAACCACAACAACCACAACCACCAGCAGCACCACCACTACTACGACCACCACTACGACCCCCGCTACGACCACCACCACTACCACGACCACTACGACTTCCACCAGAATCACAACCACAACGAAAACACACTCTGACTATTATCGGAGGCGCGTCCCAGTTTCGCAGAAGCTTGGCAGTTCTTGGTACTTCCTTAGCAATCCATTCCCCTACTTCCTTGCATCAGTCCCCCCTTGAACGCATGTCAATCCTTAGCTCCTGCACGAATCGAACTTCGCAACCCCCATCTAGGGTTGGCGGCCCTAACCCTAAATCCCAAACCCTAAACCCTAAACCCTAAACCCTCAGTAGCTTCTGTTCGTATCAGCTGCGCGGGTGCTCAACCGGAAACCCCCCTGGACCAGGAAGGGTTTAGGTTTTCGGGCCAGTGCCTCCCATGTCTACAGGGGCGTCTATACATGAGGAAGAGGACGTTTAACCTATGTTTAGATGCTGCTTTCAAATAAAGATGTCTTATGTATGTAGCGAAAGCAGAGGTGACTGTGGATGTGTTGTGGTATTTCTTTGTTCTGCTGCACAGCAAAATGAGGACCGACCGGCGGCGCACGCGGCGGCGGCGCCGGCGATGACCGAGCCACGATGATCGCCGAAGAAAGCAGCGCCTGCTTTGGAAGAAGCTCCAACACCCCAGACCCTGAACGCAAGTTTGCCATCAAGAGGAGGCCGAACTATTGCCCTTGCGTGTCGGGAACTTCCCAACCAAGCTGAAGCATCGCAAGCAATTTCATCGCAACCTTTTCGTGCCAACACCCTAATCCCGAAACCCTGAGCCCCAAACGGCGCAGCAACCGAAGCACATGAACGCCGACTGGGCCGCCAGGGCCGCGCCTGCTTGGGAGTCCTTTCATTGCTGGCGGCCAGTAGGGGCTTCTTTCTCGCTGAATCCAGGATAAACAGCGGTGCGAAATGCCCTAGACCTTAAACCCCTAGCCCCGAAACCCTAAGCCCCAAACTACATACGTCTTAAGGGTGCACCCTCGAGCCTCTTAAGGCCCTAGAACCCTAAACCCACCTCTGTAACAAGCCTCAGCGACCCTTCTCCAAAGCGGGGCTTCCATGGTCTCACAGGCGAGGAGATCGCTGAAATTACCAAAAGGGCTCCGCAAAGACAGCCTGAGTCTAGAGAAGGGTGTCCGAGTTTTTTCCTTGAAGAGACGGCAAACAGCCGCTTTATAAATTTCCATCAGCTCACCCCTAGGTTGGGGAAAGGGAAATCTACAGGATTTGGGGAGCCCGGGTCTGTTTTGGATGTTTTCGAGGAGAAAAAGGCACGCTTGCAGCTGTTGCCCATTCATGGCGTGAGATGTGTTGCAGACATTCCACGAAACCCTAAACCGTGGTCACTTGCCGCGCTAAAACCCTAAACCCTAAACCCTAAACCCTAAACCCTAACCTCTTGCTCGCTTCTGCGGCTCTGCTCTTTGTCAAGGCCTGCGCAGGGCGGGCTCTGGCGGAATCCCATTTTTGGAGCCGCTTTCACAAAGCCTGAGCAAAGCGTACGCAGACTAGGAGGGGATGTCGGAATGTGAGGAAGAATCGTCAATCGTCAACAACTGTACCAACTGAAGAAGTGTCGGAAGCAGAAAGGCTTAGAGCTACAGAGACCCTGAACCCTGAGTTCCCCAATCCTCTTCCCCTTTAAGACCGGGGGCGCAACATGGACTTTCTCACCAAGTGGTACGGTGACGGACAAGAAGACCAGCCAGCCAGGCTGCCTCCGCGAGAGTTTAGGGTTTAGGGTTTGGGGTTTAGGGTTTAGGGTTTAGGGTTTAGGGTTTGCCCTCTCAGACATGTGCTCTGCAGGGCTTCGGGCACACGACTTCTTTCCAGCCCCTTCCGCAAGTTGGAGAACTCCCGTTGTTCGGGTTGGCGGCGAATTGAAGGGTCTGAGGGCTTGAGGGTCTTGTCACCAGTGAATTTGGGAGTCCCTCGTATACTAGCAGTCCTTAATCGGGATTAGAATTGGGGGTACTGAAGCTTGAACCGTGGACTCTGAAGAGGAACTGGGAGATGTTCCCGGCATTGAAAAGCAGCCAATGAGGAGGGGCGAACGGTTTGGGTTGGGCGTGCTGTCCTCGTTTTGGCCCACGATAGGGCTACAACCTATGGGGGGGGGGGGGGGGGGATTCCCAAGATGCGTTATGTAGATCAACCCCTTGAGATACGTCAGATCCCTACACCCCAAACCGCAAACCCTAAACATCCCCCCTTATTGGGGTTCAGATGCTGGTTTTTTTGAGTTGTCTTGCCAAGCACATGACTGGTAAACATCTAACAAAGAGTGGTGCGGGCAGAAACGAAGCTTCATCAGAGCCTCGCAACCCTAAACCCTCACACACACACACACCACGGCTTTTGCCGAGTATCGGCTGTACGTTTTTCGCGGTGCCTTCAGTTGAAGCCCTGAGTCGGAAGCCCGAGAACTTCGGAACCTCAATCTTGAAATTGATTGGGGGGGAGGTTTTTAGGGTTTAGGGTTTTAGGGTTGGGTTTAGGGTTTAGGGTTTAGGGTTTAGGGGTTTAGGGTTTTGGGTTTAGGGTTTAGGGTCGATTGTATTGCTAGGTCGCGGATCTTGCCCCGTGGTTCTCTGTTTATTGTGCCCAGACTGCGCAGACTAAGCCCTAAACGAGGTCAACCCTTTCTATTTCTAGTTTCTCTAGGGACCTTGAGAACGATCCCCCACCCCCCCTCCCCCGGAGAGTTTTTCTAGAAAAAACCTACCATGGCTAGGCGACACCGGAGGTGGAGCAGTATGATAGCAGAAATACAGAGATCCAGAAATATAATCATATATGATCCAATAGCTGGTTCGAGGCCCCAAGGGCCGAGGGGGAAAGGGCTATCAAATTCTGGAAGAAGGGGAGTCGAAGAAAAGTCATTGAGGGGGGAGAGCTTCCAAGGGGGAGGGGTTCCACAAACGCCCTGGAAGGTCAGGCGCTCCATCGGACTATACCGACGGCAGCGACAAGGGGGACCTCCTCCGGGATTTGGGCACTTTACCTGGGGGGGGAGGGGGGGGTATCTGTGCAAGACCCTAAACCCTCCACCCTGCCTGAGGTGTAGATTTTTGTGGTTCATGGGGCTCAAGCCTCTTAAGCCGAAGCCCCGCGCCACGAGAAAGGACGACGATTGCTACGACACGCTTTACGACAAGTTCCAAGACCTGCCGGGTTATGTGGCCTACAACCCCATACCGTTTCTTGGCAGCCCTTTTGCCCCCTTTTTTGGTTGGTTCAAGGTTCCCTTACGTACAGTAACCAACCCCTTAACCCGGGTACTCTTGTTCGTATGGTTGTTGGGCTACGAAGGTTTCGAGGATGCGCTTGGAATTCGGGTTTAGGGTCTGGAGGGTCTGCTTAGAATTTCTCTTTTCTTCCTTTTCGTTGACGCAAACCGCCTTAAACCCTAAACCCTAAACCCTAAACCGTAGCCCCTAAACCCTAAACCCTAAACCGTAGCCCCTAAACCCTAAACCCTAAACCCCGCAGCTGAGCGGCCGAGGTTTCAGATAGGCTCCCTTCTCCTGACGCAGCGGCTGCATTTCTGGTAGTTTCAGTGGTCCCTTAATCAGGGTTTAGGGCTTAGGGTAGTTTCATGGTCCCTGAATAGGGTCCTCACCTTCTTTAAACTACTAGTTGCTTCAGAACCCAGTCCCACCGTAAAAAGATGCAAAACCTATATTGCCCTTACATAAGGAAGTTGTTGTTTGGCAGGGGGGGTCTTAAGCAATTGGTAGTAATTGAAGGGTTTAACATGGGCCCTTGTGTTTTTTGGGCTAACATTAGGGGCAAAAAAAGGGGGCGTCTCCATTTAAGGGGCCATGAAACGACCCTAAGAGCGTTGAGGGGCTTTCAGGGTTTAGGGCTTGGGGTGTAGGGTGAAGGGTTTAGGGTTTAGGGTTTAGGGTTTAGAAGCCCCAACAACTTTGAGATCTCAGGTCTCGGCTGCCAAGCTCTTTTCCTTCTTCTTGCAGAATGAAGTGGGGTTCAGTTTAGGGTTTAGGGATTTAGGGTTTAGGGTTCAGGGTTTAGCATTCATTCAGGTTCTACAGGTCTAAGCATAGCCCTCGTGTGGCTCGCAGCGCGTTGGGAGGTCAGGGTTTAGGGTTCAGGAGCGCAGCAGCAAGCTGCGGTATCCACAGAGTTCCACTCGTGTTGACTGAGGATCGTGATTGGCGTGATTTTGCTGAATCACTCGCGCCTCCATCTGCAAGAAGTGTGGTATGTGCAGGCTTGCTTTCACTCAAGGCTCCTAAGCAGCGTGCATTTTACCTGGCAGTCTGGCACGATCTTAACCCTTCAAGGGATATTCAATCCTTCTGCTTCCGCCCTACCATGCGCCCGCACACCACTTCTGCACCACAGTAGATGATACCTTTCTGTCCGGTGGGAGCATGGACCTTTTTTGCAAAAGGATTATCTGGTTCAAGCCCCAGCCTTTCCTTGAGATGGCCCGAAGCGTCCTCTGCTTGACCCTGGCTGCGGCCTGGACCTCCCTAGTCGGGGGCCTTCCGCAGTTTCTCGATGAACGTCAGCTGCGCGCTCTGCCAAGCGGACACTTAGTAGCTGAATGAGTACACTTTTCACTTTTTGGGGATGCTATAATCCCCCATAGAGCTGAAAGTGTACACTTTTTTTCTTTTTTTTTTTGGGGGGGGGGGGGGGGGGGGCTGAAAGTGTACACTTTTTTGGGGGGCTTCTGAACTCAGCAACTAAGGATATCAGATCAACCAAACCCTAAATGGCACGATCCCACTGACCATCATCCCCTCCTGGGACGTCTTCTTGAGCTTCAGCGACCGCACAAAAGTCATCAGTGGGAGGCTGTCCTTTGACACCGACTATGTCGAGGACACCTGGGCTGAAATCACCCAGGGGTTTAGGAAACATCGGGGACCCCTAAAAGAGACCCCCCAAAGAGTAGGATTCCCTCATAATAAGGACCCCAAATACTGCCCTAAGTTGGGAAACCACCACCAGCTCCCTCTTTGCCTTCCAGCTCGTGTCATTCGGCCATAGTAATAGCTCATCGCGTATGGAACTCACACTTCATCTACCAGTAGCAGCACGGCCCCTGTTCCCCGGTGGCCCTTTCGAAGGGAAAGCTCTTAAGCCCTAAACCCTAGGTTTAGGGGTTTAGGGTTTAGGGTTTAGGGTGTAGGGTTTAGGGTTTAGGGTTTTCGGGTTCATTGCAGGAGGCCAAGAAGTTCAATGAGCACCCGGAGAACATGGTGGACGTCTTGAACTTCGGGACAGGATCTGCAGGCATCAACAGCCTGAGTGGGATCAAGCTCTGGAATCCCCAGCTTGCGCAGACAGCCACTTAGTAGGGTTTAGGGTTTAGGGTTTAGGGTAGGTAGCCTTTTAACCTTTTTTGGGCATTCTCATCCCAATAACCTCCCAAAGGTTAGCCTTTAATTTCCCAGGCTACTGGACAACTAAGGCCACCAGCGTAGGGAAGGTTTATGTCGGGGAGTTCTCCCAGTCGCTGTATCCATACGCTTCTGGGCAGCGGTTAGGTAGATTCTTGATCTTTCGTTGACCCAGCTTTCCAGCTGCGTAGAGGGGCGCTCCTAGCTTTCTTTTTACCCTAAACCCTAAGCCTTACCCTAAAGCCTAGGCCCTAAACCCTACACCCAAAACCCTAAACCCGATACCCTAAACCCTAAACCCTAAACCCTAAACCCTAAACCCTAAACCCTAAACCCTAAACCCTAAACCCTAAACCCTAAACCCTAAACCCTAAACCTCTCTTGTCACCCTCAAGGACTTGTCATGCTACCCCTTCGACCGGAAGACCGTTCACTTCCAGATCGCCCTGCCAGGCCTCTACTATTTGCTTAAGAACCCAGGGTTTAGGGTTTAGGGTTTAGGGTTTAGGGTTTAGGGTTTAGGGTTTAGGGTTTAGGGTTTCGGGTTCCTATATTGCCCTTTTCGGAAGAACATGTGTATATATACATATATATTTCTATTTATTTATTTATTTGTTTATTTATTTTTTTTTATTTTTTTGGGGGGGTTCTTGAGAAAATGGTAGGTCCAGCGCAGTACTTCTTCCGCCTTTCTCTGGGCTGTCTGGGCGAAAACAGCATCACGCGCCGCGTGGACGCAGATGGCGAAGTCCTGGAGTGCGCCTGGCCAGTGAACGGCTCCTTTGTGAGCCTTGGTGGCCCAGTGGTACCCTTTACACTCTTTTTTTGGTTCTGGGTTCCCTTATATCTAAGGCCTCCCTAGCCATGCTGCCTCGAGTTGCGTGCTGCATGAATAATTGCGTGCTGCCTCACGGCGTGCACTTCACACTCGTGCGTGTAGGAGGCGGACGCGCGCAACTGAGACGGCATGCAAAAGTTCAGGCAGCACCCTCCCTGAGGCGGCATGGCTTTGGAGGCTCTTGATTATAAGTAACTAACCCCAAAAAGGGTGCCCTAAACCCTAGGCCCTACACCCTACACCCTACACCCTAAACCCTAAACCGTAAACCGTAAACCCTAAACCCTACCAAGGAGCTTCGACTGGGACTACTTCACCTGCACCTTGGAGGACAGTGCGACGATTCACTGCCAGATGACCGGGACCAGGCACTGGTCGGCACTCTTGAAGACCTACATGCGCTTTTGCAGCCCAGTGGCGCCCCTTTCCCTTTTTTTGGTTCAAGGTTCCCTTACAAAATTGAAGAAAAACTAAAC